AAAATCTAATGGGTACCTTTTTCCTAAAGGTCTCAATTCTCCTTCACCTTGTTTGCATCAGAAGGCAGCACAGGAATGCTTGTTTCAACTCTCTCTCCTGCTCACGCAGGGTTTCCTGAGCGCTCACCTTAACAGGCGCCTCTTCTGGGTGACAGGGGCACTTGCAAGGGACAGAGACCGCGCTCACCCACCGCGCTGGGTCAGCCGTCTAGTGGGCGAGCTGCTCCTACTGACACTGCTCCTTGGCGACTGACCACAGGCTTTGGAAGAACCTCTCCAGCAGGGCACTGCTCCCCCAGAGCTGCTGAAATGCCGGCTCCCACGCCCTGAGGAGGAGCTGAGCTCACTTGAGCTGCAGGACGCAACTTCACTAAGATCAAAGGCGGAGCTTGCTGTGCGTCTGCAACTACCCAGAGACCCCTTAGCGTTCGCCCGTTGAGCAGGACGACGGTGAGGGACTGTGCAGAGAGGCCAGCACAAACTCGGCACAGAGACGAGCACTGTCTGCCGCCGGGTTTCTCTGGTCCTCATCCATACACTGAAACTGTGTCTGTTTTGTCACCACTGTGGCCCCCTACCCCCGGGCTCAACCACAGTGCCAAATGACCCGGAGGCCTAACCTCTGCAGCAGACGCCCCAGCTTGACCTGTGACTTCGGTGCCATGGCTGAGCACGCTGACACCCCCTTCCCAGCAAAATTGCTGTCCTCCTCCTCCCGGTGTGATTCATCCTATTGTCACGCTGCGTCCTTTCCCCGCCGTATTCCCGCTGGCTCAAGATGCACCTGCCTTCCTAGGGTTTTATCCGGAAGAGTGGGTTTTTCATCTCATCTTTCCAATGCCTCAGTTGCACCTACCACTCGTGTATTATACGAATGAATGGCCTGCTGTGTGACCGTGGGCCAATTGTTCGCCATCTCTGGGCCTTCTCTTGGATCTATAAAATAAATACAGTACTGCCGACCTTTCTCATTTCCAGGATATGTATGCGCTAACATATCCATTAGAACACAATGTTCCAATGTGGAGATATTTATGCGATAGCGTATACATTAGAGCACAGTGTTCTGATGCATACGTTATTGCACAAATATCTTGGAAACACGGTGTTCTAATGTGTATGTTTTCGCTTAAATATCTTGGAGATGCAGAGGCCAACAACAGTGCTTGACAATAAACGCTGTGTGCTGAGAGCGTGTCTTGGAGAACTTGAAAGGGGACTTTTCTGTCTGTGATGAAAGAAACGGAAGATGGCTCTGCAGAGCCCTTCATACGGCTCTCGCTCTGCGCATCTGAGCACCGAGCTCCGCGCCCTGCAGGAGCTTGGGTGGGGGAGGAAGGAACTTGATGGAGGTCTGAAGGTGAAGACGTCTTGTGGCGAGGGCTTGACCAGACCCTGACCCTCCTCTTTGCAGGGCCCCAGTGCCGTCCGCGCTGTCTGTGCAGGCCGCCCGCCCACTGCGCCGGCCAGCGAGGGAAAGCCTCCCTTCTCAGCCGGGCTCCTGGCGCTGCAGATGGAGCCGGGAGGTAGCTGCTTTTAATTACAGGCGCGCCTTTCCTGTTTCCCATCAGCGGCCGGTTTCTGAGTTTCCCGCACCCTCTGCTGATTCCCCAAAGCAATTTTTGTAAGTATCCAAACTGTCTGGCATAACAATGGAGAAAGCTGTCATGTATGAGCCGCGTGGTGGCTCACGCTGGCTTCCCAGACATTTGGAGGTTGTCGAGAAGGTGGCTCCACTGTCCAGGCGTGGCCTGCTGGAGCCTGGTGTTGGCCTTCTGCTTCCCATGCCACTGGCTCTGCTAGCAAATATTGAGCACCTGCTGTGTGCCAGGATCCCAGATGAACAAACATGGTCTCAGTCCGAAGAGGCTCTTAAGTCTACAACAGTGACAATGATCACAGTCGCTGGGACAGAGGTGTGGACAGAGCACCCCAGACACAGAGCAGGAATGAGGAGGAAGCAGTGAGGGAACATCTGGCCCCGTGGGTTACACCAACCTCAGCCTTGGAAGGAGACCATGGCCCCACCAGGCTCTGATGCCCAGTAGAACCCACTCCTACACGTGGCTCGTGGAGCCCACATTCATTCAGAACGCACGCGGCTCCGGAAAGACCGGCAGATTTAGCAAACAAAAATACAGGATGCCCAGTTAAACACAAACTTCAGATAAACAATACATAATTTTTTGGTATAAGTATGTACTAAATATTGCACGGGGGCATACTTTTAAAATATAACATTTAAGATATATTTGCCCTAAAAAATTATTATGTATTGTTTATCTGAAATTCAAAATTTAACTGGGCATCCTGTATTTTATCTGGCAGCTCTTGTCTGAGGGCAACAAAGAGCCTTGGACCACAGACCAGAAAGTCCACGGGGCTCTGAGGAATGTATCACATTTGTGGGAGATCAAATCGGGAGGAAGAACGAGAGAGATGGCTGTCTCATGTCACCAGGGTAGAAGAAGAAAGCATTCTAAATCCTAATAGCATCCACAGGATAGGTACATGGGCTTGTTTTTAAAAGATCAGCATCTAAGGAAAAATGACAGAGATGGTCCCAGGCCACCAGGGCCTGCCAGAGAAACCTGGTCCACCAGGAAGTTAGTGGCTAGACCCCAGAAGAAAGAAAGGTGGTGGCCCCCTTGGGCAACCCGAGCATTAGGCCAGTAATTCTAATTCCATTTGGGTATTTGGATACGCCATTCCTGTCACCACCTGTTTGATGCCCCTTCTAGCTTTGTCCCAAGTATGTGGCTTCCGTGATTCTTTTCCACTTGGTGCAAGCTTAATTTTATTTGTGAATGGTTTAGGAACAAAGAGACTCCTCAGCTGTCAAAAGAACAAGATTACGAATCTCTGCCCTGGCACTCAGAAAGGTCTAGGAGATTCAGCGAAGGGGAGACACAGGTGGGAACCCAGACAGAAGGTTAAGGTCTCAAGCACCGAGGGTCGCTTTTTTGGAGGAAGTGGCTGGCTGGAGTTTGGAAGAAGACACACAGTGCGCCTTAGTGGGGTCCTGGGGCCCCCCAGACACATCCTCTCCTTGCTCAGGAGGAAGCAGGCGCGGCCTGCTGTTATTTACCAAGCTCTTGTTTGGAGTTTGAAGATCTCTTCCAGGTTTGCTCTTATGTAAATCCTGATTCACCACGCACTGGGCCCACATGTTTCGCAAACCAGGCCTGATATTTTAAACCGTCTCCTTTCACAGAGCATTTTGTCCTTTCCCTTTGTTCTCCGCTCCAATTTCCCACTTCACAAACCCAGATCTGAAGAATTACACATGGCTGATAGGGAAGTGCTGTTTGAGAGGTTCTGAGAGTCTCTACCTTCCTTCTCCCCCCGCCCAGCTCCGGTTTCACCTTGGATATCAATTATTGGCTTTTACATAAGAAGGCTAATGCATTTTCAAAGCAGGCGGATCACCCTCCCATGTTTTGACAGTTTGGCTTTAGTTGAAATATAATTAAACTTTTTTGAAAACAAGGGCTTTGAAACTCAATCCTCACACTGTTTACACATTTTTTTTTCCCCTTCTGTGCTCAGTTTTTACTTGCTGCAGCACAATTAATTCGGCCTTCGCTTTCTGCACTCAAAACAAACACTGGTTTTAAGCATTCAGCTCTCCTAGCACTGCATAGCTGAGAGTGGAAAAAATAACTTCTAAAACAGGATGGGCTTTTGATGATACCTCCTTATGACAGACACATTTAAAACCACCGCTGGTGAGTCACCCGCATTCTGTGCATACCCTCTCGGAGGAGCAGGAAGTGTGGATATTTTAAACCCCTGAGGCAACGAGAAGTTTTCAGATACGTCTTCAGGCACTCTGGGCGGCACCCCAAGCCCTTGGGCACACCGTGGCCTTCTTAAGTGTGGCCTCAGCACATCTGTAGCCCTGGAGCGGTGTGCCCAGCCTTCTGCCAGCCTCTCTTTGATCATTCTTCTTGCCCTGGCTTTGCTTTTGCTCCAGCAAGCCGGGTCTAAAAAAACACAGAGCCATAGAATTTATAAAATCAGCAGAAACTTAAAAAAAAAAAAAAAAAACAAGAAACACCAACAACCACGATCGGAGGGGGGCAGTTGATGGGGGTGGGCAGGGGCAGGCAGATGGTGCCACAAGATGTCCTGCCTGGTGGCTCTGTGGCCAAAAAGCAATAAATAAGTCAAGGCCCAGCAGAGCTTTCACTTCTGACCCGTGTTGTCAGCTGTGGGCGATGGGTCCCTTACTCCTCTCTTTCCCTATCTCTGAAGGCCAAAAGAACAAGTAGGGAAAAAAGAGGGGAGAGAGAGAGAGAGATAAGGAATTGAACTGAAATGAAATGACTTTAGATGAAAGATTTAAAAAAAAAAAAAAAAAAAGAGACTTGAGGGCAGTGAGCCAGATGTTGCCAGGAGAAGCTATAAATCCTGACCTTGTTTTGTCGAGGCAGGAGGCCCAGCGAGGGTGCGCTGAGCTCCGGAGGGCAGGGAGCCTCCGGAGGGAGGCAGTGGAAGTCGCTGGGAGGGAAGACTGCGGCTTCCTCCACGTGGAGGGAAGTCTTTCCAGAACACTGACCGCTGACATAACCAGAGGGTAATTGGGAGGGCCGTGGATTCACCCAAGGCTCCGTTCTGCCCTAATGTTTTCAATGTTATTGGCAGTTTTCTTAAAGAGATGGAGTCACTTGGGAAATGGAAGCCCGGCCATGAACATTTTTCAGCCCAGTAATGTGTTCAGACCCGTGAACTGGTTGGTTGGGAGCTGTATAAGCCACAAAAGCATCCCAAATATTATAGAGTACTTCTATTGTTATCCATGCCATCCACCTTCCAACCCTCGACAGAACCGAAAGATTTCGTTGGCAGAAGAAAATCATGGGGTGTTAATAAGCAGCTCCAGCAAAGATCAGGCTGCCTGCACTCCTTGGCATGTGGCCTCTGATTCCACCTTGAAATCCAGCAAGGTGGCATCTGTCTGGACCTGTCTTCTGCAGTCACCCCCCCCCCCCGACTCTCCTCCTCTGTCTCCCTCTTCCACCTTTCAGCACGCTGTGACTGCATTGGGTCCACCCTGAGAATCCAGGCTAACTTCTCTGTCTTAAGGCTTCCCAGTGAGCGTCTTTAATTCCTTCTGCAGCCTTCACTCCCCTTTGCCAGGTAACCAGCCGTGTCCCAGGTTCTGGTAGTTGGGATCCGGGCGTCTTTGGAAGCCATCATTCTGTTGAGGGTCTGTGATGTCCTTTGTCCCTGAGGCTCACCAAACACCGAGACAGCTCCCTGGCTGTCTCCACTGTTTATCTGTTAGAATATATGACTGGGCAGCAGTAACTACACAGCAGAAATATAGTCAAATGCAATTAATGGTACACATTTACTATCTTTCAGGCATTGTTCTAAACTCCTCCTGTGCATTAGCTCGTTTAATCCTTGTGACAGTTCCATGAGGTAGGCACTGTCACTAACTCCACTGTGCAGATGAGGAAAATGTGCAGAGTGTGGCTGGCGATGTGCCGAGACAGGGTTAGAATCCAGCCTTGTGGCCCAGGCTCCAGATTCTCAACTGATACGATTAGAAAAATGCAGGGGTATTGCCTTCCAAGTACCAAGGACAAAAAGTAAAGGCAAAGTGCCTTCTGGCCCCTTGTTTCCCATCATCCTGCTACAGAGACAATGGCCCCCTCTGTCGTGTCAAAGGCCCTGCACAGGAAGGATGAGTCATGACGTTCCGTTCACCCTGCTGGCGGTGACACCATCCAAGTCTTGACCACACGAAGCTGAGCTTCCAGCTAAGAGTTTGGAGGAGCCAGAACCACGCCAGCCTTGCATGCTCAGCTGAGGCCGTGACATTGCAAGGCCAGTGGCAGTAGGAGCGTGGAAAGCATCTTGCTGCTGTTTTCTGCAAGTGGAAAGGATGTTCTGCAGAGCAGAGGAAGCAGAGGTCACCAACTGGAGCGTGGGCCCACTCTTCAAGGGACCCTGCAGTCATTGGATTGAAGGGGAGAGGAAGAACCCTTGCAGGAGGAAGTTGGCTACTCATTTGTGCCCCCGCTCAATAGTCTAACCCTGTGGAAAGCGACAAGGTTGGCCTCTGCAGGTGGGACCACCCACCCACCTATGGCCCGTCTGACTTTTCCCAAATAATGGAGGGACGGCAGGGCCAGACACCTGTTTTGGGGGTTGCTGTTCCAGAACCCCTTGATTGTTTTAGGATCCATTGCTCTTTGGTCCAAGACGCAATGGCCAAGCCACACTTGGCAAGATGAGCTCTAAACAAGAGAGCATGAAGGGCCAACTCACAGCTCCTCAGGGCCCCGGGGAAGTAGGACGGAGAGAACCTCAACCGCCAAGTTCCGCAAATTTCACAAGGTTATTACAAACCCCAGAAGTGTTGTTGGGTTGCTTAAAAACGATTTAATTTTTGCAATCTCCCAAAGAGAGAGGGTGCCCCGAATTAAAACCGATGCTTGAAAAAATCATAGCTATGAGGATGAAAGATGGTTCTTCTCACGGGAGGGGGGTGAGCAGGTGCGGAGAAGCACCCTAGTGTCAGAGCTGCAGGAGACCCTTTGCAGTGACGTGTGAGTCATCGGAGCCAGTTCCCACGATGGAGTCGATTGTCCGGTTATGTAACCAGAATGGTCACCTTCTGGAGCTTTGCCTAGAGATCTGTCTGATTCTTGTCCCTGGGCAGGACCAAGGAATGGGAGGCCTCTTGGTAGAGTGGAGCAAGGATGAGCTTGGGCACCCGACAGGTGTGTGTTTGAATCACAGCTCAGGCACTTACACGTGCCTCGTACCTTTGTTACCTAACGTTAGCTGAGCCTCAGTCACCGCAGGTGCAAACTGGAGCCGCAGGGCACTGACCTGGCTTGGTTGTTGGCATGCTGAGATGAGACAGATGTGCTACTGTGACAGCACGGATTATCTACTGTGGCAGCTGGTACCCGTGGGACCTTGCTAATGACTGATGCTGTCACTGTTGCCTTTCCTGTCGTTACTGGTAGCATGAATATCAACATCATGGCCTTTCTCCCGGCCTGCAGGCCAGGCCCCTGTGACCACAAACAGTCCTCACGCAATTCTGGCAAGTCCAGATGGTAAAGGATCGAGTCCACGGAGCTATACACACGTCAGAGCTCTCCGAAGGGAGCTCTGCTCGGCTCTGGCAGTGGGGCACAAACGCGGAGCTCCTGTTAGAGCTTGTACGTCCCTAGGCACGGGGTACCAGCCTCAGCAGGCGACAGAGCTGTAGCTGTAGCACCGTACCTCCTCAGAGATTCTCTCTTATGCCTTTCACGTCGTGGGAGAGGCAGTGTGCAGGTCCACACCGTATTTCACGTGGAGGGCGAGAAGGTGTCCAGGGGAGAGACACAGAACCCCCTGGCAAGAAGGTGGGCCATGTACAACTGTCACCACTGACTGAGAGCCGGCCGCCGGTCACGCAGCCAGTGACACCCAGTGGGGGTTGGGGAAGGCATTGCCAATGTGCCAAAGGTATTCCTTTCCAAGCTACTTCGCTCGAATGAAAGGCTTAGGGCATATAACCCGGCCTCGGGTTTAATAGCCGAATACTAGCCGGCTGTGTTGGCAGAGTCATTTTTTCACATATTGCGATTGCATGGTTTCCTTGATATCATTCAAATCTCCTGTGTTTCCCCGGCACAGCCCGGACGCACGGGCAGACTGGGGTGTTTTCACAGGGACATCCTCCCAGCCTGCAGAAGTCATCGCTGTTTGCGGGGATTCGGCAGCTGATGGGAGTGGGCAGGGGGGGCCAGGGCAATCTGGGAGCTTGTATAGGGAAACCAAGTCATTTCCGGATGGGCATGATTGGCATACTGACCTCTCACCTAGGTGGCCGACATGACGGCTGCCGGCAACCATGATTTGGGCCTGCAATAGACAAGGGACAACACGCACTCCAGAGAGCAACTACAAATCACAGGGGGCCACGAGGGTCTCAGGAATCTGTTTCTGTTTGCTAAACGCCTCTCCACCAGGAGCAGTGAAGACACTACACCCACCCCTGGAGTGGAGAAGCTTGGAAGATGTTGCTCAGTTCCAGAAAAGGAAAAAGGCACAGTGTACATACACACTGCAGGTAAATCAGCCTAACTGGCTACTGAGCACTTGGCAATCTCAAATGGCCACGCACAGTTGTGCAAAGTGGAGAGTAACAGAAAGTCCGTGTAGATAGTGACAATGGCAAACACAATGCTAGGCAGGATTTTAAGAGTTTATGTGTAGTAACTCAGCTTATAATATGAGCTAAGTACTACTATCCCCATTTATGAGTTAAGGCCTGTTATTATCCCCATTTTATAGATGAGGAAACTGAGGCAGGCTACAAAGCTGGTAAATGATGCAGCTGGGATTTGAACACTTGCAGTCTGACCCCTGACCGGGGTCTGAGTGCTTCACCTTGACACTAAGTTGAATCAATGCGCCACATCTCGCAAAGCAAAGAAAAGGCATCTAAAGATCCGGCAGAGGGGAAAGGAGTGCATAGTAACCTGCACAGGGAACGAGAAAAGGCAAGTTTTTATGTTGCCTTCCCTCCCAGGAAATACCTTCTTCTCTCTTAAATGGCCCAGTAAGACTTCCTTGCCACACCAAAATGAATCCCACAAGTGTTGGAAAGACAGAGCCTCCCCATCCTGTTCCCCCAAACACTGTCCCCAACCCTATTATGCAAGTGCCTATTACAGCGAGCTGTGGATGTCGCTTTGTGGTCGTGGTTTCCAACTGCAAACGAAAGAGGAAACCCACGTCAGGAAGAACGCGTCTTACCAATCCCACGTCCAAGTGGGTAGGAGACCCCGAAATGTGGGCCGAGTGTTTGGAAAGAGCGGACGGCTCCGGGTGTGGGCGGGAGCTGCCTCCCTGGAGGCTGAGGTGTGGTGAGGGCTAAGACAAGCTGGGGGCCGGGCCTGGCAGGGAGCAAGGAAGGGAAGTGAGAGCGCTGAGGGGTGACGCTGGCTCCGGAAGTTGAACTTCACTCCGAAGGGCAGGGCGGCCACATGCGCGGTTCCTGGGAGCCCACCTGGAACCTCGGGAACGATTCTGAGAAAATGCCCGGGGGTAGTTCCCTGTGCCCCCAGAGGGCCCACAACCCGCCACCCCTTCAGCAAGATGTTAGTTCCACTTGGTGACTAGGTGAGCCCGCGGCTACTCACACAGAACACGCGGGAGCTCTTCCTGGAATTCCCGCCTCTCAGCTTGATCCCCACCTCTAAGACCATGCAGACCAAGGCCATGAGCGCATCACCCTTGCTCAGAGAAATGCCAACAACACCCGCCCCCCAGAGTCTCATGGGTGCGACGTGAGATATTGGTTCGTTTACTCATGAATATTTGAGAACCCACTGTATGTGGAGCCCTAAAAGTGAGACAATTTTGAGATCAGAAGAACACCCCATGGGGTACAGGGGAGAGGGGGTCTCATCTCCAGGAGCAGAACTCCTGGGGGTGAAGGGTAGACACGGGACAGGCTGCACTCCCCCAGGGCCACCTGCCCGAGCAGCAAGAAGAGCAAGACCTGGGGGCCTTCTAGGTCCTTGGAGTGCCAGGGAGACAACTGTGTACCTTGTGGGAGACAACTGCATACCTTGCCGTCAGGTAGCGCCTCTGCCATCAGCCCCTGAGATCACAGATTGCACTGAAGGAAATCAAAATATTTCACCCCAAAATATACTTCTCCGACCTATTTTGAGACTGCAAAGCTGTCTTTCATGGCCGAGATTTGCCTCTGTGGAGATTCTGCGTGAATGCCACCAGGCCCTCACTCGTCCAAATCTAGAAAAGATGAATTGAGAGTCTGACACGTGTAAAGGTCTGAAAGAAACATTTACCATCTGTTTTCTCTGAGGGCTGCTACCTGTGAGGTTTTGTGGACATAACAAGACCACCTATGCTAGCCAGGCCTCCCTCCCATAACTTGCCTTGCCCCTCTAACCCGCTCTGCCACCGTAACCTGTTTGTGACCCCGCTGAGCCCCTAATCTTCCTGTAACCTCAAGATGAGCTGTCAGCTTCTGGGCCCCGTCGAGGGTTGTGGTGATCACCTGTCCCTTGAGCCTCAGCCACCAGGCCCAGAGAGGTCCCAGCTACCACTCTGCATGCCTGGGAGCAGCCCCAGGGCTGGCACAGGAAGACCCCCTGGCGGCATTCGGCGTCCTCACATCCCAATACTGCTCACCGGGTGGTCCCGGCTGCAGTCTGAAGGCAATCTGGTCTGGTAGACCTCGTGCCTTCCCGGAACGCCACCAGCGATGGCCGTCTTCTCCGGCTCTGAGTTGTACGATGGTAGCTTGAGGATGTTGGTGACTCAGAGGCTGACAGAGGCCACTCCTCGGCCAAGGCAGCATCTCTCTTTCCCTGCTTTGGCCGGCCCCACTTCACGGTGACTGATCAGGCACCTTCAGATGACCTCGCATGCGTCACCAGAAGAAGCCCCAAACCCTGGTGTCTGGAGGTGACACCATGCCTGGAACACACCTCCCTCCCCAGGAGCTAGTGGTGCTTCATGGGATGGTGTGTGGCTGCCCAGGGGCGTGAGGCTGAACTCCGGGGCACTGTACCCTTGTCAGGCCAGGACGGCCTTCCAGGACAGTGACACTGACTCAGCCCCTCCAAAGGCCCATGAGCCCTTTTCTTGGCCTTAAACTGAAGGCGGAGACCCTCATGTTCACGACTCATTGGCTCTGTGACTTTGGGTGAAGCCCTGAACATTTTTGTGTCTCCAATTCCTCACCTATAAAATGGGCATAGCAATACCGTGCCTGTGAGGATCAAAATGTGACCCTCTATGTGCATGCACGAGCTTTGACGTCATAAGGAGACCTAGCAACATAAATCATTGGTGGTACGTAAACCGCCCCAGGGAAGGCAGGGAGAAGGTAAAAGGGGCTTATGCCTATTTACGATCCCGAATTCTTGGACTCTTAGCTGGTTTTTGTATTTTCTGCCTCTCCCACGACAAGGTGTTCCCTTGTGGCCATTTAGTCTCAGAAAACGAATTTCCACCTAGACCACAAGTCCCTGGCGACTAGAACCCCTCATCCACATCACGTTTCCAGGGAGGAGGCTAGAGTGGCCCAGGGAGAGCAGCCTGTGTCAGGACAGCCACATCAAACACCTCTGGTAGACTCAACATTTAGAGCTTGAAAAAAATTAGCTGGAACCTAAAATGACCTGAACGTCAGCCCACGGAGGTTTCAAAGTAAATGGAAACTCTAATCCACACCATTAGGCCTGTGTTCCTTCAACCTAGCGCTGCTTACCTGCCGAGATAGGACGCATCACTGTACCCCGGGATGTGCGGGGGCTTTTAAAGGGCTGGTGACTTTGAGCAGGCTGGTGACATTTTGAGATCTACGGTGCCAGGCGCCATCAGGGGACTTCTACACTGATTGATTGGCTCTTCCGAGTAGGAGACTCAAACCAATGACCGTCTTCCTGGTAGGGGTCTGAGAGAGGAGCCATCCTGGTGGTGTTGGGAAGAACATGGTCTTTGGAGCCAAGTAAATATTGATTTAGTGTGGACTCTAGGAGACCCGTGTACACAGGGTTTGGGGCAGCAATCTCATTGAAAAGGCAGTAGCAGGGGATTGCATATTCATTTTATCTCCTGCAGGCTCTTCCTGTTTAGATTTTTGCGTGTTTGTTTTACAGTAATTACAGGGAAGAGGGCTGCTAGAGATGATGGCTGCAGCTAAAACCACCCCCCAAACAACCCCCCCAATTTTGTCACTCTCTTGAGTCAAATTCCGCAACTACTGGCTTTACTGTCTATGTGACCTTGGGCAGGTAACTTAGCGTCTCTGGGCTACTGTTTTCTCATTTGTAAAATGGGAAGAATAATTCCACTGTGTCAGGGTTTTTGTGGGGGATTACATGGGTTAACATGTGGGTAAGGGCTTAGCACAACGTGAGCACGTAATAGGCACTCAACACAGGGAGGTTTCTTTCCTTCCTTCCATTGCTGCTCCCCAGATGTCTTGGGATCCTAATGAAGCATCCAGATGAGCACTCAGATCTGGAAAGTTAAAGAAAAAAAAAAAAAGAAGTTGGGTTTTGTGGGGGCTTGCCTTTGGATTTTGTTGCCCACCAGCAAGTGCGTTCCAAGATGGCACCACATCTGCCCTGCACATGATGAAGCCCGGAAAACCACGCAGCTGCCCTGCTTACAAGGGAACTGTGTAGACCGAACTACGCAGGCAGCGCCAGTCCCGAGGATGCAAAACTCTCCATGGCAAATGAATTAGGCCAGTAGTTCTCCTAATGTCTAGAAGTAGCAGAATCTTCCCGCCCTGAGATTCCGCCCCCGCCCCCAGCTTTTTTTTGGTTTTTCTTTTCCTCTCTCCCTGAACTCCTGGAGTCCGGACAAGACATAGGATGATGTAAGGAAATGTTGTGAGAGCATGTGCCCCAGTGCTGAGTTCTTTGCAAGGACCCTCCAGAGACGCCCTGTGGAACTTACGGAGTTGGCAGAAAGCTACTGAATTTGCTAATGGCTAAAACAATGAGCTCATTCATTCGTTCAAGCATTCATTCAAGAAGCGTTTGCTGAGGGAGGCTGAAAGCTCTCTGGGAGATGTAGAGATAACACATGACACAATACGGGTCCCCAATGACTTGTCCCAAATAACAAGCCTTTCTGGCTCAGTCTGAAATAGAAATCTGTAATGTTATCCTCCGGGAGACCTGGGCCAGTGGATTGCAGAGCCACACCCACTGCATGCTGTGTTTCCTTGCGGGGAACCAGCCTCCCGCCCCCCGAGAACATAGGAGCCTGACTCCTGGTCCCCAACGCCCTTTGGGGTACGGTGCGCAGCAGCCCTAGCGAATGACTTCCTGGGGAGTCCGTTCCACCGCCTGCGTGTCGCAGCTTCCCACGGATTAGTAAGGGGAATGAGCCATTCAAACAAAATTGCCCGTGAACACAGATGAGTTCAAGATCTAGGGAAAAAAGGGCGCTTGGCAAGAAGTGTTTGGGATTTGGCAGATTCTGAAGCTCACGTTGTTTGATGCTTCCATAAACCAGCTGCTTCCGCCCTCCCCTAAACACCAGCTCCCAAGGGAGCCAGCCAGCCCGGGGCTCTTCAGGCAACGACGATTCCCCGAATAACACGCAGCCTCTTTTGGAGGGCCCACCCCATCACCCATCCAGAGCGCTCTTCCTCCCTCCTCGCCATGGTTTCCCTAACAACAGATCCCACGGGCTCATGCAGCAATAGAGCGGCAGCTCAACGGGGCATGTTTCCCCAGCAGATGATGCAGTAGATTCCTCCCCAGGGAGCGGAAGAGTCTTCTTACCTGGGATTTCCAGAAGCCCCTGCCTCCAGGGGCCCACTGGGCACTGTGGCACAAGCAGCCAGTCCTAAGCACCCTCCTCCTCCTCTCACCAAAGGAGATTTCTCTGCAATTCCATCTCCAGCCCGTTCTCTCCATGCACATGCTACTTGGCTTACGGTGCCCGGAGAACCCCGAACCAAAAATACACTTGCCCTCATCTTCTCTGATTCTAGGGCTCCCTACCCTCTACTGCCCACCGCTAGTTCATAACCGGCTTGAAGGAGGACACAACCGAGACCCTAGCTTGGTACTGGCTGTGATACTGCAGCCGAATGAGCGAACCCACTAGAATTTTGATTTCTTTAGTCAAAATGCCATCAGAGGACTCTTCGTAAAACTTTGTCAGGCTAAATGGGACCTGGCCAAGGCCTCATAAGGAAGGCGGCTGCATCTCGCTCCAGGGCTGCTGCCGGAGGTCTGCGTAAGAATTGCTTTCCACTCGCAGTCTGCAGACCAAGCTGTGTGGTCTCAAAGCCTCAGGATCAGCGAGGAGGCCCCAGGCCAAAATTCTGGCTGAGAAGCTGTGGGCCCAAAGGGATAGGCTTTCATTATGGTGGGGGAAATGTGTATAAAGTACAGAGGGTGTTTGTTTTGGTTTGGAGAATATTAATATGGTTTAATACAGTTGTCTTGAGGGCTGGGAAGAATAACATACCCAGCACAGATCTTGGCACCCAGGAGGAATTCAATAAATGGCAACTGCTGGTTTTTTTTCTCTCTCTCTCTTTTTCTCTCTGTACAGCAATAGATCCAGACCTGCCCATGCTGGGCCTGGCTCCTCGGGAGCCTGGTGCATTTTGCAGAGAAAGCCGCCCTTCCCCCAGCTCGGCCTCCTTGGAGTGCCGGTGGTGCTCCTGCACCTGTAACTGGGTCATCTCTTACTTATCGCTTACACTCCACAGCAGAAATCAAATGAGTGCTAATTGAGGGCTGGGTTCGTCACGACTACTGCTCTTTTCTGGTGTGCTTTATTAGAGTGTAAGCCAATCCAAGCGTACCGCGGGTTTCGGTGTAACTGAGAGTTGCGGGCGCTTTGTGGCAGGGCTCGCATTCATTCCAGACAAAGCATCCCGAGCCGCGGGCTCACGTTACCTAATCACGCGGAGGCAGCCCAGTCACAATGCCACACTGGGCATTTCTGCGGTGCTCTCCGTCGGAGGAGCTCAAAGGGCTTAAAGAAAACCCTTTCTTTATTTGGGAAGTATTATTATCTGGGTTTTACAGAGAGAGATACCGAGAGGTGAAGTGACCTGCTTTAAGACCACACAGCAAGAAGGCGGGGGAGGGGGCTGAGGTGGGGCCCAGGCAGGTGACAGGGGCTCCTTGGCCAAACATCACAGACAGCACAAAGCAGAAAGCTGCCCTCGCAGAGCCTGTCCTCACCAGGCCCCGTAGGGGACTCACAGAGGAGACCGGGCTCAACAGGAAAGACAAAGGCAGAGAAAATTGAAAAGCATCGGTCCGAGGAAAGGCGTGCGAAGACATGGCTTATCCTTGGGAGAGCAGAAAGCAGGACGAGAGTCGCAGGGAGAGAACATGAAGCTGCCAGATCTCTGCTGGGCAGATATTTCAGCACCTACTGTGTGCCCAGAAGCATGCCTCGTGGCTTGACCCCAGAGAGGATCCTTTTATCACCTTGCTCCTCTATGACAATGTTATTTTAAGTAATAGTCGTGAAATGAAGCAACAATAACAATGGATAGAAAAGAAAAGCAGACAGTGACGTTTCTCTCCTACTGACCTTTCTAAAGGTCACGCCCATAAAATAAATAAATAAATAAATAATACCCTAAATATCACAGCATTTTAAAAAAAAAGTAACCGATTAGTACTTTCACATTTTAGTTAATGTATTATTTTTTTAAAGAAAAAAATGCTTATAATTACATACTGGTCTCTCGTAGTCATGAGTAATGACATTATGCTTTCTGTTTTTAAGACAACTTCTTTAATTTGTCCATGACCTTGCAAAACTGATCTTCATGTTCCATGACTGGTATGGCTATTGTCCATTTGCTTTTGTTCTGGGTTAGTAAAAAAAAAAAATGTTGTTTAATCATTTAAATTTTGAGCCAGGTACAGTGGCTCATACCTGTAATCTCAGCACTTGGCAGGGCTGAGGTGGGAGGATCTCTTGAGGCCAGGAGTTCAAGACCAGTGTGGGCAACATAGTGAGACCCCCATCTCTACAAAAAGTTTTTATTAATTAGCAGGGCATGGTGGCATGTGCCTGTAGTCCCAGCTATTTGGGAGGCTGAGGGAAGAGGATCGCAGAGCCCAGAAGTTTGAGGTTGCTGTGAGCTGTGATCATGCTCCTGCACTCCAACCTTGGTGACAAAGTGAGAACTCCTCCTCTAAATAAATAAATTTTGAAAAGTGTCTTTTGCCTAAAGCAATACATATATAAGGAGTTGTGGAAAATTTTATAAGCGGAATACATATGGCAAAAATTCATAAAAGTCCAATTGCACAATAAATTCTAGAAATTGCAACACTGCTCATATCTTTGTTTCTCTGGGGTGGATTCTGTTGTCTTTCAAATGTCTCCATAGCTGAAAAATTATAAACATAAATAAAAACTCTAAGTGGTCACATAGATTGGCAGAACTGAAGTAACTCAAGTTTCATATAAAGATACACATTGAAAGACAAATAACATAGTAAAATATATAAAAATAAAGCAAACTCAGAGCTTGGGAAAAGCGAAATAAGAGGGAGAAACCAAGCTGGGGAGAGCAAGGCACTTTCAGTCTCTGCACACTGACGTAGGTGCTATAGTTGAACTGTAAATTTAGCTCCGCAGTCTAGGCTTCCTGGCAGCCAAAGAAAAAAGGGAAATGTGGCCAGTCATGGCATTCATATTAACAGAAAAAAAGCCACACTTTGAGACAGCCTAAAGCACAGCCCTGGGGAAGCCACGCAGAGACTTCCACTCAGGGGCCAGCCAAGTCCGCAGAAGGAAGTAAAGAACAAAAGCACACTTTGATTCTGCTTGTTGGTTTGTTTTACACTTGTTGGTTTCAGACCAGGGAAAGATGAACTTGGAAAAGAGATCCCAGATGCCCTGTGAGCACCTAAGACAGTAAGTGACCCAAAAGATGAATTGTGCTAAGAAATTTAGGAAATTTGTGTTCAGCACATTTTAAAACTAAGGTTACATAAACCACAATGCTGGACTAGATCGAGAATAGTGAGGATGATGAAGAAGAGAGCCGGGCAGCAAGGTGACTTAATGTTACTTTTGAGCTCCACATTTGGTGGCTCCTCCTCTAACATGGCAGCTCCACCTGTCACGTGGTAATGTGAGCTCTGGGGTCTGGGTGTGCACAGACTGTGCCCAAATCCTGGCTCCAGGGATCTCCCTGGTGGTCACACCAGACTGGCTTGTCTCACACTGCCCTCCTGCAGAACACCGGACAATGTGGACAAGACATTTCTTAAAAATCTATTTGAAGGCATCGAAAAACTATGAGCTAGTAGTAGCTTGTAGTCCCAGCTCCTTGGAAGGCTGAAGCGGGAGGATTTCTTGAGCCCAAGAGTTCAAGACCAGCCTGGGCAACATAGCGAGACCCTATCTCTAAAAAAAGAAGTAAAAAAAAAAAATTTTTTTTTAATGAAAACAAACTATCGATACATGAGAAACTAAGAAGCTAAGATCCCACAAAAAAAGGCATAAGCAGA